CTTACAGCGCTGCTTTGTAAAACACCAATAATACCCAAAACTGTCCCGACTCAAATCAAACCTAGGTCTGCAAGGATAAGTGGGAAGAACTATCAGCCAAACCAGTAAAGTTTATCTTAAACAAACCAACAGCTGGCCTGAGTAAAACAATCCCCTCTGGCCATGGCTAGAATAAAGCCTGTGCTGAATCCTCAGGCAGGAATTTTTTCATGGCTCTCAGTTGTGGAGGCAAGGTTAAGGGGCTGCACCAGGTGATAGTCTTCTTGTTAAACAGGGTTTAAAGAGAGCCCGCAGATTGCCCTCTATTTCTCCCATCCTGCTGGTTAAAAACCAAGGAAAGGAGAGCACAGGTTATTCAGGACTGACTGGTAATTAGTGAAGCTGTGCAGACATGCACCCTGTTGTTCCCAGTCCCTCTACCTTATTAGCTAATGTTCCCAGGACTATAAGTATGACATCGTTCTAGACTTAAAAGACATTTTCTTTTGTATCCTGCTGGATTCTGGGACCCAGGAGTTGTTTGACCTCTCTAGATCCCCTCATGGGAAAGCGAAACAATAGTACTGCCAGACAGTGCTCCCCCTACACAGAGGAAACAAAGCAAGCTTCAAAATGTCTCCTGCTTAGGAGGGTGGATGACAGGCAAGCAAGGTCGCTAACAAAGGTGGTGTAGGTGATTATACGACTGGCTTCCTGGAGTAACAAGGACCCCAGACTTAAAGGAGATCTTATGTAAAATGAGAACAAGGTGTATATTACCCAAAAAAAAAAAAAAAAAAAACTTCATTCAAACAAGGCTGCCTGTATTCTCATTGGCTAAGATGGTACAAGCCAGGGATGCTGCCTGGAGAGGACCTGCAATGCCAGCCACCCTTGGAGGTCCGAGATGTATTTTAGATGGAAGCCTTCCCCTGTGTAACAGAAAAAGCAGAATTTAGAAAATGACCTTGAAGCAAAAATAGGCCCACTGTCACAGCTGGATAGATTTCCTTCAAAGATAGTGCTGGTGTTTCCCAGATGCTTGGAATACAATGGAGATAGCATGGAAAGGACCAATTGCAAGAAAACTGAGTAAAAGCCAGGTGTACACCTGTAATCCCAGTGGCTTGGGAGGCAGGAGGATTGTGAGTTCACAGTCAGCCTCAGCAACAATGAGGTGTTAAGCAACTCAATGAGACCCTGTATCTAAATGAAATACAAAACAGGGCTAGGAATGTGGTTGAGTGTCCCTGAGTTCAATCCCTGGTACCAAAACACCACCAACAAAAAAACCCCCAAAACGAGTACAGTTCCTGGAAGCTGTTTCTCTGACCTGCACTGAAGCTATTCCTAAAGGGAAGCTCAGCCTCTTTGAGATGTGGAATGGAAATCCTTTCCAGGAGCCAGTGGTTCTGATGTGGAACCAGAATTGGCAATAAGATACAATGAACTTGGGGCAGGTGATGGCTACCTTTCATAGATAGATAAACCTCAATCTTCCTCTTACCAAAATATACTTCCATCCCTATGAATTAGGGGGTTGGATATAAGTCAGGATTCCCTGAAGACCCAGTGAACACAACTTGTACTGGGTGTTAATTTTATTCACTACTCACTCTTCTCTTAAATTGTAAGGTGTAATTCCCTGGATTCTTCACACAAGACTAAAGAGCATCCTGGAACTGGAAGACTTTGGATGAGCCTGGAAATGCCCCTCCTATAGGCTGGGACCCATGGAAATGAAGATCAAACAAATAAGTAAAGCCTAACAACAAATGATCTTTCTACTTTTCTTGTTGGAGCGTTTGTCTTCTAAAATAGTTAGGCAGACACTCTATACATGATTTCCTTCTTGTTATTATTGACATAATTGTCTGTTCTTGGCTACATTTTGCCAAACCCCAGCAAACTAACTGTTATGATTTCAGGGTATAGTTCTTTCCATGTGAACACAAGGGCAGAAAAACAATCTCCCCAATCCTGGATAAGGCAGGAATTTAATGGACTCTTGGATATGTTACCCAAAACCCTTTTGACCACCCTGACTCCTCTGTTTTACCTGTGATCAACTTTTCCATGGTTCTTAACTTTACTGTGTACTATGATGAAAGACCCATTAAAGTAATGCACCAAGTAAGGGTAACCACCCGAAACTCCACATATCCTCCCTTGGTTTTGAGTTCTGCAATATACCCCGAGGCTATAAATTGTCCTGAGCCCATCAATACTGCTGTAGTCACTGAATTATTTAACATATTTCCCAATAACAGCTCAGTTAGATTATCTGTAAGGGAAAGCCAACAATATGAGGCTCTGGCTTTCTGGGAATACCTGGATTGAGCCTGCCAAGGAAGTAACAGAAACCTTTCCCTTTGTATGGACTACCTGAGACTCAATATCTGGAACACTCAGAGTCCACAACCTCCTAACATAAATCTCTAGAGGTTTGTTCAATAACTCCAGACTCTTACCTTGGCTCCCAACAAACAGAACACTGACCAAGGGCCACCAGTTACATAACCCTGGTTTAAGCCAATTCTGGAGACCTTGCCCTGGGACTCAGAGCTCAGTTTAAACAATTGATTGGGAATCCTATATGCTGACAGGATACCTGCTTGTTTGGGGGGGGGGGGATCTGAAGGAGCCCCAGTGAGCATATACATGGCTGAAGGGAGCAGTTTTTCTCCACCTTGGATTGAAATCACGAACCAAAACAAATCTTTCTTCTCCTCAGGTACTGAAAACTAACACAACCAGGAAGATGGATTCTGGTATACATTCAGTAGAATCTTCTTGCCCTGGTGGAGGTAGGAGCCCATAAACTTATTAGGTATTCTTTCCAGGGTGTTAATCATGTCTGGGCCATCTCCACATAGCAAAAAGGAATAGAATCCTTAGTAATCTGGTTACCAGGCACTACCTTAGCTTTGAACTGTATCTGAGAAAGGAGTTTGTACGAGCATGGGTACTTTCTTGTTGTTCTTATAGTAACACTCCTGATGTTGAAACGTACCTTGAGAACACTGTGAAACAGGCATCCTGGCTTCAACAAATATTCCCAGAAGCACAAGGAATAAATGACTGGTTCTCAGAATTGCTTTCCTGGATCCTGGAGGGTGTTAAGTCTGTATTTTCTGGGCTAATCAAATTAGGAATGTCCATTTTACTGATCTTATTTATGTCAGATGTGCTTCAAAATGCTGCAGTAAAACAATTGCACAGGATACTTCAGCTATGGTTTTACTGATTTTGTTCCTTCCTTTGACATCAAGTGACGTTCACTCATCTAACTCAGGAGGAAGGTGTTCCACAAAATGATTTCCCTCTCCCAACTCTTCATCAACAAGGAGTAAAAGGTATGGGTGGGGAAGTTTTGTTAGCTGTTACACAGAAATTTTAAAGTCCAGCACCTGTGTTTGCAGGAGAGTCCAAAAATGACAACTGCTAATACCCTTCAGAGTGTCTCTCTCAATAAGGCTTTCCACTGAGTCCACAAGGAATTGGCTTAAACCAGCCAAAGTAAACTTTGTTCCTTATAATGCTAAATTCTCATCCCTGGAGGGGTTCCTGCCTGCCATTTAAACATGGACTCTATGAAGAAGTATGATCTCTAATTGCACATGCACAGGAATATGCCCGCCTCTACAAGTCTCTCTGGTATGAATAGGCATAATCTTCACAATAAAACTCCCTTGCTTCCTTTGTTAGGAGAGCCTCTGTTGTGGGTGTCACCCCTGATACTCTCCTTATCTCCTGTTTATGCTTTTGGGCTCTGCATTTACCAACGGGGGAACTCATTGTGTCCATTACAGGTCCTTATAAATACCAGAACCAGGAATGACCGTTCCTGGCTTAATATAATAAAGACATTTTAAATTTAGTAAATCCATTAGTGTTTGTAAAGGTTTTTTTTTTTTTTTTGGGGGGGGGGGGTTGAGGGTCTGTAGTATTTTTACACATTCACCTAAAAATAATATGTTAAGTTTGGCATGGTGGTACATTCCCATAATCATAGCCAGTTCATTGAGACCTTGTCTCAAAAATCCCCAAATTTCTTATTAAGAATGGTGGGTCTGTGCTCTATTTGAAAAGTAAAACAGCTGTGCAGAGAAGGAACTAATCAAACTGAAACCTGCACTAAGTAGCTAGAACTGCTCCATGACAAATAGCTTTTACAAGGTTATGCAGAGTTCTTTCTTAAGGCATATCTCCTAAGCTTCTGGATGCCAGTTTCAGATAAATCTTTTGCTTACATTCAGGATGAGATATCTAAACTGTTATTTCAGATATAGGAGGGAAATAAAGTATAGTGAGCTAAAACTTACTGATGCGGGCAGGGAATCTGAAAACAATACCTGGTGAGCTGGGGGCCTTCTCATTGCAAGAGGAAGAGGTGGGATAAAGCATGCAAGGAAGTGCTAAGATCCTCTCTAACTGGATTCTATGTTAGAACAAATCTACATAATACTGAGACCCAAGAGCAGCAAACTATGGTCACGTCTGGCTTCCAGGCCTCATCCACAGAATGCATTTTTAAAGGGTTGTTAGAATATGTGGTAGGCCAATCCTAATGTTTTACTGTCTGGCCCTTTCCAAAAAAAGTTTGCTGACTCCTGTCTTAATGAAGTTCTTCCCAATGAAGACAGATGAAGTAATTTTGGCAGAACAAGTTCTAGCCAAGTGAAAGCATTAGGAAAGCAGGGATAGTACTTCCTGTGCTAACAGAATGGAGGCAATTAAGATAGCTGTCTTCTCTTCTCACAGAATAAGAGCAGCTCTTGCTGCCACATGTGGGTTTTTTCAGGTTGAGCACTGCAGAACTCTAGTTCATCATTACCCTTGTTAATGGCACCACCTCTGGAGTGTACAACCTGTACACAGCATCCCTGGCTGGGGCTACGTGTGGTGTTTTATTTAAACTTCACATGTGGTAATCTGAAACACTTTGGTAGGATTTTTCTTATTCATAACATTGAAGAATTTCTACTCAATGTCAGCCCATTCACATAACAGCATTGTACCTGCTTGGTGGATCCAGGAACTTGTTCGTTCTGGCCCTGGCCACTGGAGCAGTAGTGGTCATCTGCGATGGTAATCTGCTCATTTTCTTCAGCTTCCAGTTGGCTCTGGTTGAAACGCAGGGAACCTTTTAGAATGTCTTTGATCTATTTTCAAAGAATAAAATAAAAAAGATGAATGAGTTTGTATTTAGAGTGCTGGTTACATCTCCTATGTTTAGACTTGTCATTGACCTTTTTATACAGCAGTTCCCCCTCATCTGTGACTTCAGTTACCTGTGGTCAACAGGAGTCCGAAAATATTAAAGGGAAAATTCTAGAAAAAATAAACATTGTTGACTGTTCTGAGCAGTGTGGTGAAGTCTCTTGCTGCCCCTTCAGACAACCTAGAATGTAAATCATCTGTACAGCAAAATCATGCACGGTCCTATCACATCAGCTGTCACAGTATTAGAGCACCTGTGTTCAAGTCACCCTTACGTAGGAGTATCCAGCATGCCTACTCATTCACATAGGTGCTGTCTCTTCTCACAAGAAGGGCAAATAAAATATTTTGAGAGAACACTTTCAAATTACTGGGATTATAGTATAAATTATCCTATTTTATAAATTAAATCTCATTCTAGGTATTCTGAATTTAGGAAAACATAGTGCTGAACCTTACATGCAGCACATCTATAGTTTCAGACATCCCCTGGGATCACAGTATTGCCCTGGAGGTTAAGGGGTGACTACTATAGTATGAATGTTAACATTTTACTAAAAGAAATAGGGGAAAAATTCAACTTTATCAACCCTTTAAACTTAGCAATGACCAGGGAAAATTTTGTGGTGTTAATGGTCAGATTCTCACAGGGTCAGATATGTATGTCATGTCCTAAGCAGGAAGCACCATTTGCCTGCACACCTAGCTCCAGTGAACCACCTCTGAGCTGCCAGCTTGTCAGACATAATCACTAGAAGGAGTAAGGGGGGGGATATTAGGGTTACGGAGATACTGGCTCTAATATCATGGCATTCCATGTTCTAAGGTGCCCTCCCCAGAGCAGGCACCAAATGGGTGGCCTGTGTGACACAAATAGTATCAGAGTACTGCAAATACCTGTTTTAATCCTGCCAGGGAAACCAGAATTTGATCTTCTTTTTCCAAATTTTCTTGTAATATCACATCTTGAATATTTACTGAAAATAGAAGAATGACATTTTATGACTAATGCTTTGAGTATAATTTACATATTGCTACCTTGTAACTTTAGACAAGCCTGGGAGTTTTTCTGCCAACTTTCAGAGCAATTGTTCCCACCAGGGATGCTCTGCATACTGTAGGTGGGGAGCAGAGAGGACAGCACTAGGCCTGCATGCACAGCCTGGTATGGAGCCTTCTCTCCAGTGTTCCATCAATGTGCTCTGATAATGGCAGCTGTTATCTTTACTTCCTAAAAGTCCAGGGCATTTCTTGATGTACTACATGGCCAGCGGCCTGAAGCATTCATCCAGTCTCTAAGAGGAAACATTTTAGCTTTAGTTTCCTAGGCTGCTGGAGTTCCTTGGTATTACCTTTCTCACTAAAGAGGAGTTATCCCCAGGTAACTAAAATTAATACAATGTCTCTAAGGATTTATTAACCTCATTGCCATTTCATTTCAAAAATAAGAGGACAAACTCACGGCACTAGGGGCTGTGCTTAGGTGGCGATGCTTACAAAGTCAGCACGCCTTCAGCCAGCATCTTCACAGGAGCTGTTTCTTCATCCTCTAGGAGGTTCAGAGCCACATGAAGAGACTTTTTCCCAGACCTGACCTGAGGGACACATCCAGCCAGCTTCTGATCCTCAGAATCAGCATCACACCCAGTTACCCACACATGCAGTGGCCCTGGTGCTCCACACCCCTGAAGGATGCACACAGCCCTTTGACAGACTGTGGCTTAATGAGGTGGGATTCTTAGGGGAGCTCAGTGGGTTGAGTGAAAGCCCCCTCTTTCTGGGAATTCACAGGAGAATGTGGTGGGGGCTGGAAGGCACAATTAAAACTGTGTAATAAAGAGACCAATAAGGACACCAATTTGAAAATCGCTACACTAAGATTTACATTCATACTGCTTTTGTATTTCCTGTGGCCTTAAAAAACAGCCCCAGTTACAAAGTCTTACATGATATACTCTTATTCAACAACGCTGTCCCAGTCTCTACCTGAAACTCCTAGGTTCCATGCCTGTCCCTATAGCCACCATAGCTAATATATCACCCTTGCTTGCTCAGTGTCCAGAGGCAGAGCCAGCACACTTGTACTGAAGACTCTGCCTCCAAGTCTGTGCAGACTAGCCCCCTCTTATTGTTCAACTTTCTGCTTTGGCACTGTATCCTCAGAGCAAACCAAAGTTGACCCAAGTCCCAGTCTAGTTCTGCCACACCACCTATTTAGTCCTCTCTGGCATCATTGCCTGTAGGTGCTGCCTTCTCCCCCAAGAGGACAGAACTTCCAAGACATGCTTGCTCAGGGCAAGCACAAAATGATGCCTGAGCCATTACAGGTACACAATAAGAATTCACTGAATGGATGAGAGAATGAACACTCTTGGAACATACATTTCAAGACACTATTATTTGAAAATTATTATAAATTCTTAGAAGATTATTAGAATAGTCTTCTAAGTGAAGTAAGCCAGATTCAAGGGTTGAATGTTTTTCCTCATATTTAGGAGCCAGAGAGAAAAAAAATTAAAAAACACTGGTGGGGATAACCTCATGAAAACAGGAGAGAGAGAGAGAGCTGTAGAGATAGGGGATCGAGGAAGGGGAGAAAAGAGGGAAAGGGGAGGAACTAGGGCAAAGGAAGTAGACCAAATTATGCTATGTGCATGCATGAATGTACCACAATGTACCACTTTTATAATGAGCCAAGGAAAAAATACATATAAATAAATAGAAGAAAGATTGGAAGAACAGAAGAAGGGGGGAGCAGGGGAAAGGAGAAGTAAAGGGAAAAGGAAAGTACCAGAGAATGAACTGGAACAAATCTTGTGCATATATGAATACGTCACAATGAATTCCACTATTATGTATAATTGTAATGCACTAATAGAAACATTAAAAAAAAAAAAACCACTGGCATTCTAAATATTTTCAAAAAATATTCCCAGTAAGGGGCAAAGCAAACTGATTCCATCAACATGCTTCCAGCCTGACAATTTACTAGAATCTTCAGTAAGAATGAATCTATAACATGCTGACAAGTCCTCTTACATACTCCAGAGAAAAGCAGCTTTTATTTATTGGGAAAACTTGACTGTAGTTCTTGGCTAATAGAAAGTCTTGCTCTACAACAAGAAAGCAAGTTGAATGAAATAATAGACATAATTAGAGAGCAAATGTTTTTGGTTTTCTTAAAAGCCTGTAACAAATTGTTCTCTCAATAAAAAACAAAACAATCCACAAGATATTAACAGCAACCAACTGCAAAAAATTGACAAGAACAGTTCTGCAGGCATTTTAGAAGATTGAAAAGGCTTTTGCTTTAATAGAGCCCCCAAATATGCAGGGACAGAGCTCTCCTTAGAGGCCAGCAAAGACCTTCTAGGCATTCAGAGGCCATTCCTTAAACACCAAAGAAACATGTGAGTCCATCCCAGAACCCTGGCACTATCGTGGCAGGGAGAAGAAAAAATGAACAGTGGGCACTGGCTTAGATGAAACGCCTAACTTGTAAAAGACTGAATTGTCTTCAACTGGCAAGTTTAAGCCCTTGGACTGCCACTGGTGAGAATGGAACTTTATGGCAAGATTTTGTACACCTGAGTTTACACAGATTTACAATCTCATTATAGAAGTATCTATGTGAGACCTTCTAAAATCTTATTGGTTACATTGCCTGACCATACTGGTCATATTGCCTGGGACTATGAATCAGGAGGTCCTAGCCAGCCTCTCTTGAATGCTCTGTTTTGCTGTGAACCTCCCACAAATCATATACTCAAGATTGGCAATAGTGACACTTACAGGGGTAGGTTGGGAAGATAAAATGATAGAAATCTTTTTGTCTTTCATAGCAGGTCTGAGTGCTCCTTGTTGTAAAGCTCTCTTGGAAAGAGCACAAGCAGCCAGGGAGCCTGGAGGCCTGAGGAGGTGGTAGAGTTGTCAGAAGGCTGGCCCAACTCCACCCTCCACTCCATTTGCACCAGTACAACTGATTTTAAAGGGCAGCACTGGGCACCTGTCCTTCAGCTGAGGTTGGTCATGTGACACAACTCTAGCCTATGAAATGTAGAGAAGTTCCTGGGTGGAGTTTCTGGGAAAGCTCCTCCTGGCGAATGACTCAGCTCAGGCCTTTTGGACTTTCACTTCCCCCCCACTTTGCCTGCCAGAAATGCTTGTAGGAGCTCCAAATGTTGCCTTCCAAGCATTTGGTTGAAGATCACAGTTTGAGGAGGATCCTAGGGTAACTCATGGAGCTGCCATACCTGCATGGACTGCCAATCTCTGGGCTTCTTAATTACTTGAGGGGCAAACAAACAAAAACAAAGCAACCTGATTTATTTACTTTTTCAGGCTTATATTATTAGCAGCTGCATTAGTTTCCTAAGGCTCTGGAACAAAGTACCTCACACTGGGAGTCTTAAAACAACAGAAATGTATTCTCTTAGTTCTAGAGGGTAGAAGTGCAAGAGGGCCATGGTCTCTCAGAAGATTCTAGGGAAGAACCATTCTGACTGTGTCCTAATGTGCAGCGTAGCTGGCCAGGATCCAATGCAGAATGGGTGCACCAGGGAGGGAGAAAGGTACAGGGCCTTAGTTTTATCAGTAGTGAACCATCACTCCCAAGTTCTTTAGACTTTTTTTTTTTGATGAGGTTAAGGATCTCCCTTTAGGATCTTAGTGATAGCACGACCTGTCTTTCCCCCTGAAAACCCAAATATACATGAAACCTTCATTTAGTTTCAAGCATGAACTCTTGTTTGAATCAAATAAGCTGTCTAGGCTTACTTTAAGAAATCCAGGTTATAGAAATCCAAATTAAAACAGTAGAGCCCCTTTATAGAGGCTGCTAATATTTTGAATACAAGAATTTTTATTTTGCTAAGAGTACTAACCATGTAAATCTTTTCCTTAGCCATTTCTACTATATATTAAGGTAGTATTTATGAACATTCTACTAACATAAAACCTCCTAGTAAACAAGTATTCAGTTTCAAGTAAGTTGAACCTGCATGTAAAAACAGAAGAGCACCATGATGTGTGTGTCAGCTCTTCATCACCATGACCAAAATACCTGACAAGAACAACTTAGAGGAGGAAAAGTTTATTTTGGCTCATGGTTTCAGTCTATAGTTGGTAGTCTCCCTTTGGGACTGAGGTGAGGCAGAACATTCTGGCAGAAGGGTATGTCTGAGGAAAGCTGCTCGCTCATGGCAGCCAGGAAGCAGAGAGGGGAGAGGGTGAGAGAGACAGGGCCAAGGACAAGATATAGTTCCTAAGGACATGTTCCCCTGGGACTGGCCTCCTCCAATTGTGCCCCATCTGCCTAAAGTTTCCATGACCTCCAATAGTTCATTCAAATTATTAATCCACTTAATGGATTAATCCACTAATGAGGTTAAAGCCCTCATGATCAATTTATTTCCTCAAAGCCCCACTTCTGGACATTTCTGCATTGGGATGAAGACTTCAACATATGAGTTCTTGGGAGACTTTCCAGATCTAAGCTGTAACAATGTCTTTTCATGCCTTAAAATATTAAAGGAGAAATGTGAAAATGTTAAAATTTCCAATGTAATGCGTAATTTTCCTCATGGCAAAAGGCAGAATATGTTATAATGTGGAGAAGAAAAATTACATTCTTCATTATCAGTAGATATTAAAGTATTATATCTTATAATTGTTGGGGCACTGAAACTAAGGGAAAAATGCCACATAACTAGCTACTTCTGTAGAAATTACAGAAATCTTATCACATAACAATCTATTTTTAATGAAATGTCAATACCATAAAAATAGATTTCTAACTCTAAGGGTTTTAGAAATTGCACACAAACTACTTCTTCAATTTCTTAAAAACTTTACTGTTTTCAATGCTAGAATAAACTTGTTTTCATCTAAATGTTTTAAGTGGCTGGTGTATATTTATTCAGGGGTAGTGGAAAGTGGACAAAAACAGAACTTAAATCCACCTATGATGGGGGTGAAA